TTTAAATTTACGAATTGAATTTGCGTATTTTTAAATCGTGTTTTAAATTTACTAATTGGATTTGCATATTTATGAATCATGTTTTTAATTTACAAATTGGATTTGCATATTTATGAATCTTGTTTTAAATTTATGAAATGGATTTGTGTATTTTAAAATCGTGCTTTAAATTTACGAATTAGATTTATGTATTTACAAATCATGTTTTGAATTTACGAATTACATTTGTATATTTTTGAAACATGCTTTGTATTTTCAAGTTGAATTTACACATTTACAAATCATGTTTTGAATTTACGAATTGGTCTTGCATATTTATGAATCGTGTTTTGAATTTACGATTTGGATTTGCGTTTTTTTGAATCGTGTTTTAAATTTACGAATTGGATTTGAGTCTTTTTGAATTGGGTTTTAAATTCACAAATTGGATTTGTGTGTTTATAAATCATGTTTTGAATTTACAAATTAGATCTGTGTATTTACGAATAATGCTTTGAACTTACGAATTGGATTTTGTTCATGTGAATTGTGTTGTGGAGGTATGCATTTTATTTTGTAAATGTATTACTTTTGAGAGTGATCTGGCGTCATACGTGCAAGGCATGCGCTGTGGGTCATGCTGATCACTTGACGCAGAAGTATAAATCAGCCTTTAGGGTAATTAGGCAAGTCATTGTATAACAGTGGTTTGTTCTGTAGACAATCAAAAACAAATAATGCTCAAAGGGGCTAATAATATTGAGCTTAAAATGCTTTTTAAAAAATTAAAAACTTCCTGAATCTGTTAAACATCACTTGAGAAATATTTAAAGAAGAAAGTAGTGATGTAGAGCTGTAACCTGCCGGAACTACTTTAGAATAGATTAAGGCAATCAGAATTAAGCATTCAGCAGTTTACATGTTGCTTCCCGGTCTACTGGATTACTTCACAGTCATGTCATATTTTTGTGGAAGATTTGCATGAAACACACACTGGTGACAGACTCGCATGTTGGAGTTTTTGTAAGAGGAAACACAATGTGCTGCACTTCTCAAAGGCGTTGATGATGAGAAACAACAACAACAACAAGCTGAACATACAGGAAAAGCCACAGAACAACTTCCTGGTAGAGTTCATAAAAGAAGGGCATAGAGGGAAAGTGTGTGCGCGTGTGCGAGTGTGTGTTTATGTGTGTGTGTGTGTGTGTGTGTGTGTGTGTGTGTGTGTGTGCGCATATACATCTATGTACATATTTGTGTGCGTATCTCTTTGTGAGTGTGCACATTTGTGTGTGTGTGTTGCTGTGTTTTGTTTGTGTGTGTCAGTATTTGTGTGTGTGTGTGTGTGTGTGTGTGTGTGTTTGCATATAGGTCTATGTGTATGTTTGTATGTGTGTTATTTATGTGCGTGTATCTGTTTGTAAGTGTGCACATTTGTGTGTGTGTGTGTGTGTGTATTTTTGTTTGTCTCTGTCAGTATTTGTGTGTGTGTTTTCTGTGTTTTGTTTGTGTGTGTTAGTATTTGTGTATGTATCTGTGTGATTGTTTGTTTGTGTGTGTGTATGTGTGTGTTTGTATGTGTGTTATTTATGTGCGTGTATCTGTGAGTGTGTGTATATTTTTGTTTGTCTCTGTCAGTATTTGTGTGTGTGTTCAGTGTTTTGTTTGTGTGTGTCAGCATTTATATGTGTATGCATCTGTGTGCGTGTTTGTGTGTGTGTGTATTTATGTGTATGTTTGTGTGTGTGTGTATTTATGTGTTTGTGCGTGCGTGCGCGCGCGAGTGTGTGTGTGTTTTCTGTGTTTTGTTTGTGTATGTCAGTATTTATGTGTATGCATCTGTGTGCATGTTTGTGTGTGTGTATGTTTGTGTGTGTATTTATGTGTTTGTGCGTGCGTGCGTGTGTGTGTGCTTTCTGTGTTTTGTTTGTGTGTGTCAGTATTTGTATGTGTATGTATCTGTGTGCGTGTTTGTGTGTGTGTGTGTGTGTGTGTGTGTGTGTGTGTGTGTGTGTGTGTGTGTGTTTGCGTAAACGTCTATGTGTATGTTTGTATGTGTTTTATTTATGTGTATCTGTGAGAGTGCACATTTGTGTGTCTGTGTGCGTGTATTTAAGTTTGTCTCTATTTGTGTGTTTTTTATTGTGTGTGTGTGTGTGTGTGTGTATTTATTTATGTGTATATTTGACTGTGTATTTGTGTATATTGTGTATATTTGACTGTTTGCATGGTTGTGTGTGTGTGTGTGTGTGTGTGTGTGTGTGTGTGTGTGTGTGTGTGTG